TCGTATCAATCTTATTTGATCTGTCGCGTCATATTGCTTGTCATATTGCATTCTATGCGCGGGAAAGAAATTCAATTTGAATTCGATGCTTGTTTAGTTTTAACGTTTGTCGTAAGATGGCGCATTCCCTGATACAGTAAAACTAGACTTTCTACTCCGAATATATAACCAATACGTTGATTCTCCAGAAGAATTTAATTGAAAATATTCATCTTGACAAACTATATTTAAAAATTTTTACAATTTATTTATCTACAATACTCGTCAATTTATAATCTTTAAATGTTTAGAATTGAGACAGTTATGAATAATTTCTAATCGCGACGCTTTCCCAACTTTAAATCTTACGTGCGAAAATTTTATTACATTAAATGGAATATCCGATCTGGAGCTCGAGACTTAACAGTCCCTTTTATGTCGGCAATTTGTCGGAAAGGTAGTCGCGTGCAGCTGATCTTTAAAAATTCAATAGGAATGAAAGCCGTTCTAACCCTTGCTAAATGTGCGCCTTTGCGACTGTTGGAGGATTTTCCAAGGAAACTGGCAACTGAACAATAAATAGTACGTTTAGCCGGTCCGGTAAACGTGGCCACATATCACTTCCACTCCATCCCGTGGAGCGATATATATCCGCCACGTTAAGTGCAGCCTTTTCGCCAAGTAGAGGGACTCCTTTCTTTTACTTTCGTCCCTCGATCGATCTATGCATTCAGAATCGTCGACGGCGATAAATTCCGCTGTGTCGCCGTTCTTTTAATCGGGCGTTTCTTCGAGGTACGAATCTTTTGATAAAAGATTCTACTCTTTCTTTTGCAAATCCAACAATTTCTGACTTACACGTGTATTCCTTCGTCAATTCGTCAGAGATAAAACAAATAAAAAATGTTGTTTCAAAATAAAAAAAAAAAAAAAAAAGGAAAAGAAAGGAAAGAAAATTAGTATTTTCTACAGTCAAGATCGAGAGAGAAATGTCGTGTGTTGTGATTCATCTTTTAATTAGAGATCGATTTAGATCTCGGATTGGATTAGCGCAGTTAATGTTAGAACCGTTGAAGCGTCGTCGTTGTTATTAAGAAGCTTAGACCTTCATCAGGCTCAGCACCATTAACCAACGTTGAATTAAAATTTTGCAGCAGAGCGTATAATTCAGAATCGTGTTGGGTTTAATCGCGGCGAGTTCAGGAAGGAAGAACGTGGGATTGTTGATCCAAAAGCGGAGAGCTTAACGGAAAGGTCGAGGGGTTTGTAGTATAAGCGCGATCGTCGGGCCGCATAATGAGCGGATAAGCCGCCTAATGTAGTCGTGGTAGAACACCACCGGGCTGAAGATAGCTAAGGCTTCGTTCTCTGTTCTTCTTCATCCTCTGTTTCCGACGCTTCCTTCCTCCATTGTTCTTCTATCTCAGTGTTAGACCTCCGGTGCTACATCCAGATGAAATCAGGCTCGTTTGACGAAAGTTTCAGAATCTACAAACGGATTAAGCCCGTGCTTTTGATCCACGTTCTCGAATAATATTACTCACTTTTATATTTTATATCCTGTCTTAATTATTTTATATCTCTTTCGTTTTGTTATCATCGCGAACGTTGCATGCATCGCGAACGTATAAACGATGTAGGAAGTTGCGCGTTTATACGATAGGAGAGGATTGATCAGGGGGAAAAAAAAATCTAGTCTTTTTTACGTTTCCCTAAGGAATGGAGGAACGGGATAGGTAGTTAAGTTCATGCCGCTTTTTTTCGATATTTAATCGTTCCCAGAGGTTGCTTCGTTGTGATTAAATATGTAGTATTAATTGGCCGAGTCTCTGGCTTGTTACGATTATTATCGCACGGTGTAAGCATTAGTAGTTTTAATAGTGCATTTAAATTATTATCTTATAATTATATCTGTGGTGGTGATTGGGTATAACAAATATAAATGAAATTTTAATTAAAATAATACGAGTTTTATACATGTTCTAAACATTGAACAAATGTATTCGGCATACATCGGCGAATATCGATGCAGCTGAGAATCGGAGAAATTCGCCGATCTGTTTGTTAATCAATGAATATTCGAACGTTCATTAACTCGTACATTAGTGAATAATCGAGTGTGTTGTGTCAGACGCAGACAACACGTGACGAAATAAAGCTGATTAGTCAAATGGATTACCGGTAGCTTTTGCGCAACGTAATATTTCGTCGTTTCCGAGATGCGGAAGCGGATTGCAAGTTGATTCGAGCTGACGCGATTAGCGGGAATATATTGTGAGCCGTGATCATGTTAACGGTGAATTACGCCGATCCCAGAAAAGCTGCTTTCAACAAGCCTAGCCAGTGTGCATACCGAGGACGAGGAATGGATGTTCATCTGAACAAACTCGTTCCTCGTTAGCGAGAGAGCTCATTAAGACTTTCATGTTCCTGTGGTCACGTTTTTCCCTGGTGTAGCAACATGGATTGAAAAGGGTGGGGAAAAAAAAAGAAAAAAAAAAAAAAAAA